CAAGATTTTCAGTAGTATGTGTCTGAAATACCTGCTTGATATTCTGTTAAAAAAGAACTATGGCCAAACCTTTTTTGTGCATAGTTCTCTTTAGGGTCACAGGAGGACATTTACTAATGTCCTCCTGTGACCTGAAACACAGCATATAGCGGGCTATTGCCTGCTATATGCTGACAGTGCATAGCCACACTGCAGCTGGGAAATATCCCAACAATATTCTCGGGATCCTCTTTGTTACTTGTACCTGGGGGGGGGATCCCTGCGGGGAGCAGTAACTGACAGTCATCGCTCTCTGCAGGTAGAAGATCGTGAACTGAGAAATCAGCAGTATGTGATCGCTCAGTTCTCGATCTATAGAGCCGACGTGTGACAGCTTCAGTGTCGCATCCCAGCTCTAATTATTAGGATGAGTGTATTTCACTAATCCCATAATTCTCCTTTAAGTACTATTATTCTGCTATCAACTGAGGGGGGTCACTCTCATAAGACTGATTAAAACCCCTGCTACCCATGTATGTTCTCACCATAACCCTGTAAAGAAATCAAGACTATTGCTGTTGCTACCAGCTAGATGTTATATTTCATGATTGAGATCCACAGTAACTATGAGTCATCAAATTCTGAAGCTGGCATGGGTGAATCCTTAGCTATTACTCTCTACCTGATGTCTCATCACATCCCACATTAGTCTATTCACATTTGGCATTTCATTGACTATTTAACTATACATGTGAGCAGGTCCTTTGTTGTAAGAAATTGTATTACTTAAAGTGTATATCCACTTTTGCAGCCAATTTGAGAAACCCTCTTCTATATGTTTGCTATGTGTACCCATTTACATAGCATACCTGAAATAATTTTCAAAAAAAGTCTTACTTTTTTTAGCTGTTTTTGCTTGCTGCTGGTTAGAATAGATGCATGCAAGCTGATAAAAGTGACTGACGGAGGGACAGTGTTTTGAAAGTTAATTAACACACAATGTCTTCCGGTCTTTAACCTTTTGTTAGGACCTGCTCATATAGTTAACAAGTGATGATACAGCTCCATTCACAATGGATTAATTCCATTTCATTCCATATCACAATGGTAGACTTGCTCCCCTTGGTGACATCAGTAAGTGGAGCTGCTACCATAGCAAAGTTAGGCACAAACCTCTGGTAGTTTCCTGCTCTCCTTACCATATGCTTCGTGGGGCATATGAATAAGGTATATCATTATTTTGAATGAGGCCGGGGCCCCATGTAAGCCACAAGGGAGGATCATATACTGATACAGCCTATCACAAACTCTGTCTTTTCCTTCACCCTGTCTGTTAAGGAAACCTGCCAATACTCCTTAGTAAGATTGAGGATAGTAAGGTATCTGAGAGGACCCAACCTTTCTATCAATTTTGAACATTTCATTTTGTTTTCTAAAGTCATTGCAGAACCTCAGACTGCCATACGATTAGGGATGAGCACTATGGGACTTGCCCACTCACTGTTTCTTTATAATGCAAAGGGCTAACATTTTCTGTACCTCCTATGAAACTGCTTTCTACTGAGCCTCAGGTAATCAATAAGGATGTAATTTTACTTTGACGTGAGGCTCTGTCACAATGTCATGACAAATTATGTTAATTTGTCCAGGTAACTATGAAAACACCTGTCAATTTTTGTGCAGGAACTCTCTCACCTCCTGAATTTAAATAGTAGGACAGAGATCCTAACCGCGGGTATACCTTTTGCTGGTATTTTCTTAGGGCAGCATTCCACTGGGAGAGCCTTCCAATCCTTCCAGGGTTTTATTATGTTAATATAGTATATTTGGAGGGGGTTTTCTCCTTCCAAACTTGTATATCTAGTAGTTGACATAATTGATTTTCTTTCTGATCTCATAGGGGACCTGCCACTTTACCACAAATGTACACTCTACAGTGGGTATCAAAGCTAAATTTCTGACTCCTTGGTTAATGAGTCTGATTTTTGCAATGTGGTTATAAACTCTGGCCTGCAGCTCTTGGGATTGGTGCATATGTTCCATATAATCCACATGACTGTCACTATCCTATTCGGCCCCTGAGCTATGTGTTTGATTATGCTTATGTGAGGTGTGACTTCTTGAATGCTTGCAGGGAAAACCCTGTAGAGGACTTGGGCACTTTCCTGATTGAGAGCACTAAGTACAGTGGTGTATTTAGGTTTTGTGCTGCCCTAGGCAAGACTAGATTTGGGCGACCCCCCCCTCCCCCCCCATGGCTAGTCAGAGGAAAGTGAAAACGTTCCCCTAAAGGACAATTTAAACCTCGCGTAAGCCGCCTCAACCTCTGCCTGGGGGGCCGCCCCCCTGAAAAATGCCGCCCGAGGCAAACGCCTTGTTTGCCTCGTGCTAGATACGCCCCTGACTAAGTATATTAACAGGGGGGCGTGGCCAGCATGTGATCCGGAGTAGACGTGCGCCCGGGAAGCTCCGCTCCATACACTATCCTGTCACTATCCTGGCGCTGAGTTTTTGCCACTTACCTGAGTTCAGGTGTTGCTTTACCCCTCTGGAGTCGGCACGGACATTCGGCAGACCTCTGCATGCGGGGGAACAAGTACAGATCGACTCGTTAGTCAGGGGGCAAGCCTCGTGGTGGCTCAGAGGCGGTCATCTTGGCTGTGCTGGCCGAATGCAGCAAGATGTCTGTAGGCACATAAAACGTGTGTCCCGGCCACGCCGCCTAACTCCCCATCTAGCTCGGACATACTAGAGGCTATTACATCCTGCAAGGAGGCACTCACCAACAAGATAGACTCTCTATCCGCGGATGTGAGTTTCCTGCGCCATGACATGGACAAATTCCGTGCGCGCATGGGGGAGGCCCGAATTTCCCAGGTGGAAGAGACAACTCGATCGGACACCGAGGAGCTCAAGAGGCTTCAACGGCAGGTACAGGGGCTACAGGAGAAAGCGGTTGATACTGAAAATCGGCTGCGCCGCAACAACGTCCGCGTGCTGGGCCTCCCTGAACGTGCGGAGGAGAAAAAGCCGGCCGAATTCGCTGAGTTCTTCCTGGCTACACTCCTTGACCTGCACGACTTGCCACCGACGTTTGTGGTCGAGAGAGCACATCGAGTTCCACCCATCCCGCCGAAACCGGGGGCCCCGGCCCGGCCATTCCTGATCCGCTTGCTCAATTACAGGGACAGGGACCGGGTCCTTGCGGCAGCGAGAAGCCATCCTAACCTGCAATATGAGAATGCCCGTGTCTCCCTGTTCCCGGATTATTCTACCGAAATACAGCAACGCCGCAGATCATACACGGAGGTTCGTAAGAGGCTCCGGGAGAAAGGTTTGCAATATGGCCTCCTGTACCCCAGCCGTCTACGGGTTAATGATGGCGCCACCACACGCTTCTTTGATACCCCTGCAGCGTCTTCGGCCTGGCTGGACGGCACCTGACTGGAACCGACTACTGAGGGTGCTGCCACATGGTAAACCAGCATTCATCCTATTGCTATGCCTTCAGCTTGCACCGACTGCTCAGCGCCTTTGCAATGGGAGCAGGAAGAGTCCTGGATTTTAGCGAAGTTCTAACCGGATCACCTGTGGGCTTATGTCATTAGCTCCTTCCCCAGTGGAAAGACACCAGGCCCGGACGGCATTCCTATTGAATTCTACAAAGCACATGCGGAATTAGTGGGCCCTAGACTATGCGAAATGTATACCTCATGTTTAGCGAAAGATTATCTGCCACCGTCCATGTCAGGGGCTCATGTAATAATGATCCACAAGCTGCCTCGAGACCCGACCTCCTGTGTCTCTTATAGACCTATTGCCCTACTTAATTGTGACTTTAAAATTCTCACCAAGCTTCTGAGAGTAAGACTTACTCAGCTGACGTATAGTTTGATAGACTCAGACCAAACTGGCTTTATGCCACGCAGATCCACCGATATTAATCTGCGTCGCCTATTCACAAATTTACATGCGTCCCATCTCAACAGCGGAACGAGGGTGGTGGCGTCTCTAGATATAGAAAAGGCATTTGACACGGTGGAATGGACCTACCTATGGGCTGTGCTGGACAAAATGGGAATCCCCTTGGAATTCACTAGATAGATTAAATTGCTATATCACAACCACATGGCCTCTATTAAACTGGGGAATAAATTGTCAGCTCCCTTTCCTATCCGCAGGGGCACACGGCAGGGCTGTCCGCTCTCGCCCACTCTCTTTGCCTTGGTCATGGAACCCATAGCTGAAGCTCTCAGAACGTCCCCCTACATTAAGGGACTTAGAATTGGCTGGCTGGAGGAGAGAGTGGCGCTATATGCGGACGACCTGCTCCTGTTCCTGAATGACCCGGGTCCCTCATTGCAGGGTGCCTTGGATGTTCTCAACACATTTTCAGTTGTGTCGGGTCTGAGAGTTAATTGGGACAAATCCATATTATTCCCCATTGACGCTGCAGCTAGGTCTACTCCCAGAACGGTTACTCAACTTTCCTGGGTTGAATTCTTTAAATACCTGGGGGTAGTGATTTCTGGCTCACCCAAGGACTTCCTGGCATCGAACTTACTCCCGATTCTGGGAGACATGAAGCAGAGACTGAAGGCATGCGCGAACTTACCTCTGTCCCTATTAGGCAAGATCAATTTAGTTAAAATGAAGCTTTTACCCAAATTAACGTATATTTTTCGCAATTGTCCCATATGGATCCCACAATCCTATTTCCATCAGCTGAACCAATTAGTCTCCTCCTCCTTGTGGGGCACTAAACCCCCGAGATATAAACTCACGACCCTAATGAGACCCACTCTCCGGGGTGGACTGGCGCTCCCGGACTTCTATAAATATTTCCTAGCAACCCAACTGGTCACGGCCCACTGGTGGCTCTCGGCCGATGTAACTAATTCCTCGGTTATGTTGGAAGCAGCAGCCCTGAACTCAGTGGAGGCTCTAACTGGCCTTTTATACAGCCTAAAGCCCCCTATCCTCTTACCCCCTCCATGCGAACAACCATCAAGGTATGGCGCATGGGAAGTTCCTGGTGCTCCAGGACGGCCCTGGATGTTTCCCCAAAAACACCTTTGTGGAATAACCCCAACTTGCCCCACTTCTACACGGTCCCTGATCCCGCTTTTTGGGCAAAACGAGGTGTGAAATTCCTCTCGGATATTGTGGAGTCCACTTCCCTGATCTCATTTGACGACCTAGCCGCGAGGAATGCTATACCCCCCAAATTTATTTTTCGCTACCTACAACTCGCCCATGCCTTCAGCGCTCAATTCCCAGGGGATAGGTTTCGCCTGGGAGAATCTCAATTGGAGTCCCTGGCTGGGACGGTGGGACTGATGAAGCCTGCCTCCAGTTTCTATACTACCCTACAGACCCTGAATTCCTCCAGCCTGCTCACATTACAGAATAAGTGGAGAATGGACGTCCCTGACATGGACGAGGAAGACTGGGAGGAGGTCTGGGATGCACCCTTTAAACAACTGGTTGCAATAAGGGATAGAATGGTGCAATTCAAGATAATGCATACAGGTAAAACTCGAATAATTAGAATATCGTGCAAAAGTAATTGCAGTAAGTGCTGCAAAAGGGGCCCAAACCAAGTACTGAGTACATATGCATGCTTGTACTTTTCAGAGGTCCGATATTGTTCTATGTACAATCCTTGTTTTATTGATTGCATGTAATAATCTACTTTTTTGAGGTTGTGGATTTGGGGTTCTTGGGGTTTTCATGAGCTGTAAGCCATAATCATCACAATTATGACAAATCACGGCTTGAATTATCTTGCTTTGCATGTAATGAGTCTATCTCATATATTAGTTTCACCTTTTAAGTTGCATTAGTGAAATAAATGAACTTTGCACGATATTCTAATTATTCGAGTTTCACCTGTAGAGCGTATTTTACCCCCCATCGTTTACATAAAATGAATGCATCCATCTCTCCGTCCTGTCGGAGATGTACGTGTGAGGAGGGCGGGTTTTTTCATGTTTTTTGGGAGTGTCCCCTCATCAGGTCCTACTGGGAGGTGGACTATATCTCAAGGGTCACCTCATTGCCACTGACACCATCGCCGAGAATGTGCCTCCTGGGCCTGGTGAAGGATGTAGCTCCGACCAGGTCGGAACGCATGTTGGTAGGCCTGACCTTGTTCTATGCTCGTAAGGCTATTGCTATACCCTGGAAAAAACCAGCCCCGCCGGAGCTGTCCTTTTGGAAAAAATTGGTGAATGACAACCTACCTCTGTACCAGGACACGTATGCCAACAGGGGATGTCCAGGTAAGTTCCATAAAATCTGGGATAGCTGGCTGGAATGTACTAACTCGGCAGTAAACCTGGATGCACGCTCTTAAAGGGGGACCATTGCCCCTCTGGGGAGCTCTAGACCTGCCTGGATCAAGTCCGACCTGAGAATTCGGACGAGATAGGTGCCCCATTGTCTGGCTCACCCATCCCATGATCTCCTGTCAAGGCCGGAACCCCTAGCGGGCATATAGGAGGGCTGTGGGAAGGCCTAGCGAGCCCTGTTGGGGAATGATCCCCCACCTGCAATGTAGAACCAGAATTGCTCTTTGTTTTTCTTTTCCTTTTGCCCTTTTGTTTCTTCCTTTATTTCCTTTTCCACGGCTATTGATGCTGTACTGTTATGTTGAATGCACTGCTATGCATGGTGCCATTAATGTTAGGCACAAATAGCGTGCACAGTTGTACTATATGCTTGTAAAACAATACATTATTTTGACAAAAAAAAGTATATTAACAGGAAGTCTCATTTTTTCCATACTAATCAACCCCTTTTTTTAGCATACCTTTCAAGGTTCTCTTGAAGCATTCTACCAGCTTATAAGTTTGGGGTGGTAGACTGAGGTGCATAGGTGAGTAATTTTCAACAACCAACACATTTTTTTAGTTACATTTGAAATAAAGTAGGGTTCCATGCTCTGTCAAGATTTCCTTAGGAACGTACTGTACGTGAAAAAAATCTAGAACTGCTTTATTGCTATGAACTTAGAGGGCGTGTTTCTGAGAGGGATTTCTTCTGGATACCAGGTGGCACATTCCTTAGAATGTTTGGTTCATATGGACATAATAGCATCACACAGTGGCTGCAGATTTGTCGGCTGCACATCCATGATGCGAAATATCCAATTCCACCACATCCCAAAGGATCTCTATTGGTTTGAGATCTGGTGACTGTGGAGGCCATTTGAGTACAGTGAACTCATTTTCATGCTCAAGAAATAAGTTTGAGTTGATTTTAGCTTTGTGACATGGCATGTTATTCTTCTGGAAGTAGCCATCAAAAGATGAGTGGTCATAAGGGATAAATATCCCCCATACCATTACATCACCTGCGTGAACCATTGATACAAGGCAGGATAGATCAATTCTTTCATGTTTACACCAAATTCTTATCAATCATCCCAATGTTGCAGCAGAAATCAAGACTCATCAAACCAGGCAACGCTTTTCCAATCTGCTATTGTCCAATTTTGGTACGCCTTTGCGAATTGTCAGTTTCCTGTTCTCAGCTGACAGAAGTGGCAACCGGTGTGGTCTGCTGCTGCTGTAGCCCATATGCTTCAAGGTTTTTGTGTGTTGTGCATTCAGAGATGCTCTTCTGCATACCTCGGTTGTAACAAAGTGGTTATTTGGGTTACTGTTACCTAACAATCATCTTGAACCAGTTTTGCCATTCTCCACTGACCTCTGGAATTAACAAGACATTTTCACCAAGAGAACTGCCGTTCACTGGATATTTTCTCTTTTTCAGACCATTCTCTGTAAACCCCCAGAGATGGTTGTGCGTGAAAATCCCAGTAGATCAGCAGTTTCTGTAATAGTCAGACCAGCCCATCTGGCACCAACAACCATGCCACAGTGAAAGTCACTTAAATCATGTCCACTTTGTTCCCCATTATGGTGCTCAGTTTAACTTGAACAGATCATCTTGACCATATATGCACTGGGTTGAGCCATGTGAATAGCTGATTAGATAATGTGTTTGTGATAATGAGCATTTGAATAGGTGTACTTCATAACGTGGCCAGTGAATGTATATTTGGTAAAAAAGTATGTGCCTCCATATTTATCTATACCTGTATGAAGTAACTACATCACAATTAACATTAAAGCCACAGCTGCAAACTGAGTTATATTGAGACAGTTACAAGTCCCTTTAAAAAGGTACTTTAATAGTCGCAGCCTGAACTGCTGTTACATAACTCAAAAAAACTGCAGAATTATTTAATGTGTCAGACTCAAAAATAATGACAGCATAAAGTATATGCAAAATGTGGACAACCTGCACTAGTAAAGAACTATGTAGTCTGTCACTTTACCTGACAGTTGCTTAAGGCCATAAAGTACAGCCTCAAAAACTAACAAATAATTGAACTACTATTGAATAATAGCACTACTGGGCCACAGTTGGACCAAAATGTATGTTGTAAGCTTCACAAAGCTGGAATTTTGCAAAGGGCTGTCATATGAAAACTGCTTACATGCAATGTGAACACTTTGAGTCAGCATTAAAAAGGTAAAGAGAGATGTGAAATACTTTTCTGCTTATATCCTAGACCAGGGGCGCCCACAATTTTTGTCTGGAGATCTACTTTTCAAATGAGGAGCTCAATGAGATATACCAACGAAAAAAACCATGCATTCAGGGGCGTGAGGGGGGGCGTGGCGGTGCATTGAAGTCAACCGGGCCTCTCTTCTCTCTCTCCTCTCTTTCTCCCCTGTTTCTCGCTGCTGTCTATTCTCTCTCTCTGCTATATCTTCTCTCACTTTCTCTGCTGTCTCTCTCCTGTCTGTCTTTTCTTACCTCCACTGCAGCAGCTTCCCAAGTCTCCTCTCCTCTCTCCTTCCCGCCTGCGGCGTCTGACACATTCAGCCGCACGAGCACCGCGGGAGGACAGGACACAGGTCAGTGAGCTGATTGGGATCCTCCAGTTTTCGCTTTGCGATCTACTGGTCAATCGCAATCTACCGGTAGATCGCGATCTACCCTGTCCTAGACAATATGTTCTTTGGCAGCAGCATGTGCTGGCTCATTGGTCCTGTGGTCTCTGCTAAAGAAGCTTGGAGGAGTGATATTTAGGCAGAGCAAGCTAATCAGAGATTATGGCCGAAATCAATTCAGCCACTTTGGCAGATGTGCCCAACACACGGCTATTAGTTATGTGACTTGACCAGGGGTATAGATAAATGCCTGTCAATTTGGATGTGGAACAGGTAAGTATAAGTGTATCACTAAGCTCGTTAGGAGCTGCTGGTTTTTACAGGCCCCCCTAACTTTTCTACTGGTGACTTGCCCTTTAGCCACACCCAAACACTCACAGATTGTATTGGCTCAAACATCTAAGGAATAGTTGGGGGTACAGAATACCCAAAAACAGCAGCAAAATTTCCTTCACTCAGCAGTATCTTCTCAGTGGACTCTTAGTATCTTTACGCATCTGCCACAGGCTAATGGTGTTTAGGTAGGCCCCTATCACAGGATAGTTGAGGATCTTCAAGCAGAGACCAGCAATTGACTAACTAGGACTCTTCTGCAGCTTCAGCTACCTCCCCCAGGCAGCAGGCTTGAAAAGCATGAACTTTCTGCAGATACACCCTTCCCAGGCAGCTTGGCCTGGGAGGCAAAGGTCCTTCTCACATGGACTGCCCCCAAGCCAAAGCCTGTCAGTCAAAGAAAAGGATCCTTCATGCTGACATCCCCTCCAGACAAAGCCTGGGAGGGAAGGTCTCACATATGTTTTTCCTTCCTCAGTCTAAATCACATGCATAAACCTCTCAGTGATTGCCCAGGGCAAAAGAAAATATTCATCACCTACAACACTGTATCCTTTCACTCAGTAGGAGGCAGAAACAATGTCCCAGACTTAGAGAAAACCCAACAAAGGTAACAACAAGGAATGCATTGAAAATTCGTCCGCCGAATCATTTTGTCCAAAATTGATACTTTGGGCAAAATGCCGAAAGTACCATTTTGAGGCTGAAAGTGCGGTACATCTATAGTTTCTCTCCTCCCCGTTTGGAGCGGCCTTATGTCCCCTCTATCACAGAGCAGCGGGGAGAAGAGAAACTGTCAGGAGGCCAAGCGGGGTGGAGAAGAAAGCACTGTCAGCGGTGTGACAGGAGGCTGAGCTCTCCTCCCGCAATGCCCCGCTCAGCCTCCTGTGACAAGCAAAACAGGATGGAGAGTGGTGCAGGGAGGAGACAGCTGTCAGCGGGAGGCCAAGCCAGCAGTGTAGGGGAGGAGTCAGTTGTCAGCAGTGTCACAGGAGTCCGAGCTCTACACCCCACACTGCCTGCTCAGCCTCCTGTGACGGGCAAATCAGGATGGAGAGCGGAGTACAAGCGCTCAGCAATCAGCTGATCGCTGAGTGTTTGTAAACAATTGAAGACATGGTATGTTTACTGTGTCCCCTATTATGTTAATTCATAATTGCGGACATGGTAAACATACTATCTGCACAGTTTATGAATGGACAGGAGCACTCAGTATAGAGGCTCCCTGTTCATTGATAACAGGGGCTGCAGAAAAAAAGATTAAGGACTCAATCTCTTTTTCTATTTCAAAAAGGGAAATATCAGGGGTCTGTTTAGACCCCTGATATTTCCCCAGAGCCCCTGACAGTAAAGTAAGAAAAATAAATAAATAAAGACACAAAAAATATATTAGAAAATAATTATAAAAAGGCTAGAAAAAATATTTTGGTTTCGGCCTGACAATTTTTTTATTTTTGGTTTCGGTCTGAAAATTTAATTTTGGTGCACCTCTAGTAACAACCTAACAATCACAGCAACAGCCTAGCTGCCAACAATAAATTTAAACTAGGGAAACTCCAGCATATGGCAGGGTCCCTACATAAGAATGAAAAGGAGGGTGGAATCAGATAAGTTTAACTTTACTAAGGGTGCAGTTGCAACCTAAATACATAGACAGCAAACAAAGTACAAAAAATAAATGCAATTTCTGAAATGCATACAGAGCGCAATATCAGTCCCTGGCAGCTTTATGATAAAAGTGAATATGTGGTGAATGCACACTGTAGAAGGGAACAAAATAGTTAATTTCTTTGCCAAGCCTTGACAGTCACATTAGGACCTAAAGTAAGATAAGATCATCCCGTTGGGATCACAAGCATCATAAAAACCCAGAGGGGGATTGAACCTTACCTTACTTTTTCCAAAATAAAAGAAAAAAAGCTTTGGGAGACGTTTCACTTTAAATGTCACCTTTTAAAGCTCAGCCAGCTAGTGCCTATATACTACAGACACTGCTTCCTTTCTGCTCATGCCTTTCTTCTTCAATGCTGACCACATACATACAGCAGTTTTTATTCTGAAGCCCTTGCAGGTTTTTGCAGTCTGCGCACAGCTCTACCCTGCAGTTTTCTCTCTCTCTCCTATCCTTGTACTGACCGCCCACATACACGCATAGCTCTCTGCAAGTACACTTCCCTCCTGCCTCATATTTCTTTCTACCTTTGCCGTATTGATTTTTTACACAGATGGGCACAGAGCTGTCAGTATAACAATTTTTGTTCTGCCTCCCCTACTGTACTCTGGGTGTAGGCAACACAAGGGTTGATGGATTGTTATGAGATCAGCATAATCATAATTAATCTTATGAACAGAAAAACATTTATTTGCTGTCACATCATTCCTTTCAGCATGTCTATATGCATATAAAACAAATTGTGGTGTGGCTGTTACTTATTTAGGAGTTTAAAAAAATAGGCAAGGCTAAAAAGATAGATGTACAGAGGTCTTCTTGAGATACGCAGGTGAGATAAATGTTTTTAGTGCCAAGACCTCCTGCTCTTTTCATTCAACCTGCCTGATGGATTGAAGCTGTACCTTCCTCTCCTCTTCTCATTGACATGTAAGGATTAACTAAGTGACATGGAGAATTTTAATCAAATTGAAATATTTCTTGCACCAGCCATCATTTTTGCTTTCTAGGGATACTCTTAAATGGCTCAATTCTTGCATCAGGCTTTGGGATAGGGCTGTTTATGACAACCCTTAGTACAGTGTTCCCTTTTAAGACAATCACAAATTATATTAAACAAAGGGTATATTTCTCATTAAATCTATGAAGGGGAGGCATACAAATACATTTTTTATGTGAAATTGAATAATGGCAGTGGCCAGCTAGACATTTTTATCTGGCTCTTAAAGGTAAAATATATAGACAACATGGTTTTACTGGAGTAGGACCCGGACATAAACAACAAACTAGCCAGTTAGGTTACAATGAGTGTCAGTGTCATTGCTGGTTATAAACTGGGTCTTGGTGCGCACCCAGCTCACTTCAGTTTTCCCAAGCCTGTTTAAAACTGTGACCGACACCCACCAGAATGTGCTTGGGGGGTGTTGGTCACAGTTTTCAGCAGGCTTGGGTGACCTGGGTTCACATAAAGCCCAGCCTCATCACTACTGCTGACACACAAGCAAACAACTAAGGCAAAGTACCAAATTAGCTGGCAAGTGTAAAGCCTTAAAACAGACAGAAGGTATCCACAGTAATTTCTTCACAAATCTAAACAAAAGGTTTATTACAAATTTCATGATAGAATTTCCAAATGAAGCTCACCACACTCAATACAATTTGACTCTACTATTTCCTTTTATTTCCTCTAGATCTACCAAAAACAAATTGATTGGATAGATTAGGTACCTTCCTAGTTTTGGTAATTCTAAGGTTGATTGCACAAAGATTGTATGGTCTGACTGTAACCTGTAAGGTGACCCTAATGATTGAGTTTGTTTATTTTAGCACAGTGTTTCACTCCTTTTTGTTTTTTGGCCATTCTTAGACTGGTAAGACTACATGACCCATTTCAGTTAGCAGTTGATGACATTTCATATAGCTCAATTTAATGTAAATTTGCTAATATCTAAGATATAACTATTAAATCTTAGGATACTTTTTTTTTTCTTCTAAATGATTAGCTAACAATTTTTGGAAATTGTGAAATAGCTATTTCACCAAAATCCTTTTCATCTCCAACCCAGTTATTTGCTAAATTATTTTCATGGGGCAGTTCTTGAGAGATCACCTATTTTTTTTTTCCTGTGTAAATTCATGAGATATCACATAGTCCATTACAGTTAGCCATCGATGTGGCAGTTGATAAAAATTCACATGGCTTATTTTAGCTGACTGATGAGAGATCACATAGGCTATTTCATGCAGCAACTAACATAAATTCACATGATAAAGACATGTGAATAATACATTGTTTTATTGCGCTTAATTTATTTCTTCTTAGTAGAGTCACAGTATTGCAACTGCACATTTTAGAGCTCAGTGTGAGCTGGTGCTGGTGTGAGCTTATATTTTTCTTTATTTGCTTTGTTATGAGATTGTCTCATTATTATTATGGAGAGGTCATGATCCATTCTATTCTTCGCTTCAGTACATCCTTTAACCGCTGCAAATTGCGGTTTATAATGAGAGGGGAAGCACAAAGATCAAAGGGCAGTTTCCAGCCATAATATCAGTGACATTCAACAAGGCAAAGAGCAATGTGCTAGGTACAATAATACAGAACAACCACTCTGAATTTGTCTTCCATTGCAGATGAAAACTTGATTTGTTATTTTAGATGTACTATATTTTGCACCTCATTATTTCTATTTGCATTACTTTTGTAATACTCATATTGTGTCCCATTTTATAAAATGATCCATCAATAGGAAATTTCACTAGGTATTCTACTAATATCAGTTTTCTCAGCTAAATACATGATCTTTTAGATATTGCAAAGTCTACTCTTCTGGTCTACAACAGTAAATTCATTACGAAGCTATTTTTTCCTTTGCACGTAGATTAGTTGAAACCCATCTCATGAATCAATATGGAGAACATTATAACCTTTACAATGATTCAATACAAAAAGTGAGGAACTACATTTGTGCCTTTAATATCCCTTTGCTAAGAAGCAGTACCATCAGCAGTCATTTTAATTCCTTTATATATTCCTTACCGAAAATGCAAACATATGCTAGCTAGTGCAGGTGGTCGTTCAAGGAAACTGTCTTTGTGGAATTTCTATGCTCTCACCATGTAAGCATGGCATTCAGAAAATGTAATCAACATAGAAAGAAATAAAATAAATTGTTGAACACAGTGAATATGTGCATGTTAGAAAAAAATACAATGCTTTAAAACAGTACTACAGAAGCTCTTTTTACTCTGTTTTAAAATAGCACTTAAAGTGTATCTCTAGGCAAAACCTTTATTTTTCTTATTTATTTTTTTAATAGAGTTAGACCTACAGTCAAATTTTTCTTGTAGCCGAAAAATTTGGCATATACATACACTATGATGCTAGTGGGTGCAGTAGGTTAGTGTGTTGCAACCAACAGCCATAGTTTGATTATCTATGAGTCCTTCATGGATCCATCATAAGCCCTCCAAACTCACACATAGTTTGATTATGTGTATGTGTGTTGGAAGAACTTATGATCTATGGAAACCTCTGATTAATGCACAAAATAAAATAATTTTTTTTTGTATGTTCTAAGCCAGGAAAGTCCCAGTATTAGAAAGAACTAGGGATGCACCGATATCAAGAACAGTACTCGTTACGAGTACAAGTACATGTACGATACTTTTCGAGCTCCAAGACTAGACTAGAGAAATATTCAAAAGTTAGGAGGCAGCTGTCATTTGTAAGGAGCACACAGAGCTCCTGGGATTTGTACATCTCTGTTTTATTGTATGATTTTGTTTTTATAAATATAAATAAAGGGATGCAGTTTTGCGAGTACAAGTACTGTTACTTGCCCAAGTACTTACAAGTATGAGTACTGATACATTTTTGTTTATTGTCATGTGACAGTTTTTCTAAAACAATATAGACTAATGATTTCAGGACAGTGGTGGAGCACCAGAGCCAGGTCCCAGCTGTAACCGCTGCAACCCTGGTAGTTCTCATGAAAATGCCAAGTATCGGCATTGGTACTCGAAAAGTATCGGTGCATCCCTAGAAAGAACCAATTGTGCTTTTATGATCATGTCCATACATAATCATGTACGTATATCATACATAACATAAAAACATGACAGAGGTTATAACATTTTCCTAATGTTTTGGCAATAGATACAAGTTTCTTCTATTTATAATATTATTGTGTCTAGAGTTTTCAGCAGAGATTGAATGCTCTGCCTTCATTTTTTTAAGGTGCTGTAGCAGTCACTAAAAGTGATCATTGTAACATTCCAAGCATCACTACACTCATCAGGATTTAGACTGCAGAAGCAACCTAGACTTAAGATTTGGAGCTCCTAATCTCAGATCTAGGTCACCCGTTAATCACACCATATGATAAAGGGCTCTCACGGCATCAAAGCAGAACACCCAGCTTCACTTTGGTTACAGACAGGTAGATTTTTGTAAAATTCTCGAGTGCTGGAAAAGAAGGGTTTCACATACTTTTGTTCACCAATTCACGAGGTCGGAACTCACTTGTTACACAATACCTCACGTAGCTGCAATACATCTAACAACTTCAAATTGCTGTAGGTGAGTGAGCAGTTTGTCTAAACTGATATATTTATTTTACAAGGTAATTATCCACTTTTTCGGCCTGCAGCCTTCATTAATTTTATAGTCACTTCACAACAATCAATGCTCCTACAATAAAAGTTAGTACTACTAATTAGGTTTTCTATGGATGTTTTTGGGGAAAATGCAGAGAATATATCTAGAAATAATACATATTTATTTTCTCTCTCTATTAAGGATAATTATATTGGGGATTTGGCTCTTCCTGATTCACAGTAGAAGCACAAATACTGCAGGTAAGATTTGAATAGTATGTTCTTTCGGTCTGAAATGTCTGTGTATTTTTATCTCTTTATGTGGTGCTAGATATATGTGGCCTTGTCTCTGTCTGCTTGTCTACCTGATACATTACACACAATACTAATATGGATTCCACTCAAACCACTTTCCCAAATCTGAAGTAGGGCAAATCCTTAATGATAATTGAGGCAAGAGGGGAAAAATGCTAATGGGGACAATACTTACGGTGACAGCTCTCTAAGCTGGGATTTCCCCTCACTTGTTAAAGATTTCCTCTCACTTCCTGTTGCATCTAAAAGGAAGGAAGTGAAGGGAAATCTCCCCAGCAGCACACAGACAGCATAAAAAACTCTGATAGGGGTTTACCCTTTCCTATTTTATTCAAAATACAGTTTTCGCTGTACATACTGCACACTTAAGCATTTGTGGAGGTGTTTATGTCCGAACTGCTCCGGGAGCTGCAACAAGTTAGTTGCCTCACAAAACAAAACAAAAACAATATAAAGATAACGGAATGATTAGGTTTTATCTTGGCATCATATGCCACCGACCTGTAAAAAATTGTACAGACTTTCCTATTCCAAGGTGAGAAAGTATATTACTAATCTTTTTATCTTATAATTGTTTCCTGTATATGGGTGTAGAGCATGTGAAAGGAAACAATGGTAGCCAATGCCTTTTTTCCCATTTGATAGGGTTCAATCTGATTAAATGTGTTTGTTCCAACTTTCACCTTATTCCCAAAATGCTGCAGACAATGTTCATATAAAAATTAGATTCTTGAGTAAAAACCTTCTAATAAGTACACTAGAAGTTCACAGAAACTGTTGGTGAATTAGAAGCAGGCTTTTTATTTAAGGCATTTGCCAATGCAGAGCAAAGCAACATGTTCACCTTAATGTAGACTTCCTTGGATTCATTTACTTACCTTTCTTTTGCTTTGTGCCCAAAGAGAGCTGAATGAAAGGAAAACAAAGCCCTGTGCAAGCTACAAGTCTCCAGAGTCAAAGCTCACACAGGGCTTTGAATTACCCTCTAACAGTGTTTATTGGCCCAGCACTAGCCAAGTCACATTCTTCTTCATACCTGGAGGTACAAGATATTCCCCTAAGCTCCCAACACTAAACAGAGTAGCGGAGAAGTGAAATAAATGTAAATGTACACTACTAGAGATGGGCGGGGGTTAAAACAGACTTGCTTCTTTGCTCTGAATTGGCAAAGCAGTTTTGCTCTCAAAGGCAAACAGTTTCAGGATGGTTATATCTTGAAACCCTATGCAACATTTTATAGTAGATAGGAAATTGGTTGCTATTTTGTTATATGGGAAGAAGGTGTGAATATTAATATCAGAGGAAAACTGGAACTTGGGAAGAATTCGGTCATGTTACACAGCGTTTTTTTTTAAATTGTAGCATGAGAGGTAATCCCTCTCTCACCAGAAGGTCCTTGGTGGGTCTTAAAATGGACAAGTGGTCACCAGCACACCAAGTTTTCTTCAAAATGAAATCCTTTTATTCATTCTAGCAGGTCATATCACCATGTGTGGCAACTTTTCCGAACCTTACCTGTCCCTTCATCAGGCAAACAAAAGTTTCACTTTTGCAAGTATTTGGCGGCGCCATCCGCAGCTCCTTCAGCACCCCCACAATATATGGGGCTTCTTCATCAGGAGTACGGTGGGACTCTCTATATAAAATGGACAAGGGGGGATAAGGGACAAGGTGCTGCAGCTCTACCTGTTTTAGTGGAGGGAATGACAATAGAAAGAACATACGACTTAACCTATAGTCATACAAGACATGTTCACTGTGTAAAGGCTGTGTTGAACAGAACTGTACCCTCACTGGATGATGGCTCCAGAAATAGCAGTCATTTTAGAGTTATGTATGAGATTAAAAAGAAGATTAAAGTATAACAGAAGTCCATTGGGAAATACAATTATCTTGTATGAATAAGTCCCTAAAATACAGGTACAGAAAAACCTATTACTTAGATTTGATAGTATGGGGATAGTATGGGATGGATATTCAATTACCGGAAAAAGAATAATTAAGTTAACCTCTCCAAATCTTCCTGACGAAGCCTCGGCGAAACGCGTTGAAGACTGGATCAAGCACAGAATCATGGCTGAACTAATGATATATAGAACAATTATGTACAATGAATCATGCAAATAAGATATGAATACAATTTAGGCAATGACCAATATATGAATTTGTAATCATGGTTTCTGTGTGGGTTCCAGGGAGGTTATTTATGTTGTATACATCTATTTATGGTTTTTATATGGATGAATTTTAGCATATTTATATGTATAGACATCATGAATTGAGTATATTAAAAATGGAATTTTATTATATATATGAATCAATTGACTTTATTATTGGATCAATTCCCGGCTATTCTCTAGTGGTCACCACAAAGCCCCTTTCTTTCTCTTTCCCCCTTTTGATATATATATTGCATATATAGGGGTGGTGGCCCAGTTTGTGTGATGGTTCCTAATTTTTGTATTACAATGATAGTATGGGTGGTTTCTAGTAGTGATGTTCAGATGCCAAGTTCCATACTTGGTACAAGTACAGATACTTTTCCAGCTCCAAGACTAGACTAGAGAAAAATTCAAAAGTTAGGAGGCAGCTGTCATCTTTAAGGAGCATAAGCGGCTCCTGGGATTTGTGCATCCCTGTTTTAATGTATAATTTGTTAAATATATATTAGAGATGCACCAATACCATTTTTGCAAGTACAAGTACTGATACTTTTCCAAGTACTCACAGATACAAGTACTGATACATTTTTGTTTATTGACATGTAACAGTTTTTGTGAAACAATACAGAGTAATGATTTCAGGACAGTGGCGGAGCGCCAGAGCCCTGTCAGAGCTGCAACCACTGCAGCCCTGGTAGTTCTCGTGAAAATGGCAAGTTTTGGTACTGGTGTCTGAACATCCCTAGTTTTTAGTACTTTAAAATCCCTTGTAGTAGTACACCACTGCCCTGATTAAGTGAAGCACTGCTTTAAAACAAGTCATCACAACAAAATATGTTGTGAGTTGGAATATAGTTTCTACATCAAGGCAAGGCAACTGACATGTCATTCTTAAACTCATGGTGTTTACCCAACTACCTTGGTAGATTTTCCTTTTCCATGTGTAGAGTCAAAAAATATATACAGCAGTTAGGGCATAGCAAATCTTGTGAAATAGTAGACGACTGTTGAATTATAGAGGACTGTAGTTAAAGAACATGACAAAAAAAGAAGTTGTTAAAAAAGAGGTGTTGAATACTCAAAATAACCATTTAATTCTAACCTATTTCCACCTCTACCATTCTATATCACGTTCTTCAAAGTGGAAGTCATTATGTTAGTGACCTACTTTGGAAATGCACTGAAGAGAGTCACCAGTTTCAACAATTTGTAAGTGTTCATACAGATAATTAGTATAAAAAGAAGTAGTGCAGAGACACACTAAGCATGATGAGTGGAGCAGCTACAGACTTTTTAACGAAAATAAGGTAAGAATAATAATGAATGAAATAACAAGGTGATGCAGCATAAAAGCTAAACAGTCATTACACTAACTAACGTGTTATACTTTATTTGACTGAATATAGCAGCAGCAGCTTGACTGTAGAAGAAAATGAAAAGATGAGACCAAGACATCTGGAATGACAAAACCTATTACATACATTTATATTAGGATCAGTTAAAAAGGCACAGAATAAAACAATGGAAAATAATAATAACAGATGATCTTGGGAACAGTTTAAAAAAAAGCAGTCAAGCAGAATTGCTCAGAGAATTAGCTAAAAAAGATTTATTGGAAAATGCGTTAAAACTGATTGAGAAATAATTATAGGAAAATATAAGCAAATTAGTCAGTTCAAATTCAAATGTGTCTGATTTGATATAATTTAAATGTGCATTGATTTTTTAGTACAATAAATGGATCCATTTGTAATGCAATATCTGTTTAATAAGCAATGAGAGCTCTTGATGCATTACCCATCAGCACATAAGAGGTGCTACAGATTTCCATGTGGTTGAATTAATTTGGTATTTAGAATATGTCAAATTAGAAAATGGTTACTAGCATTTTAGAGATTGCATTCATTTATTTTACATTTGATCCAAGTGTAAGGTTGTCTAATCCAGCTTTTTAGTCTATGTAATAGTTCAAATGCTTTAACAGTATTTGAAATACTTTATTTTGCATGTAATGTAACCTTTTTCAGCCCCATGTAATCTTATTTGGTATCTGCTATCAGCCACCCCATTGGGTTATTGTATTCTAACAGTGTTGTGAGAAGCTCTGTGCTGTATCTTTAAAACTGCAGCAGAATATCTGGTTTGTGCAAAACAGCATTAACTTTACAATTAGCATTTTATCTAACATACTGTATGTTGGTTACCTAAAGCTGACTATACACTACCTGAATTTTTTTTCGGGTCCTGCTGAATCGACTGAAGTGCAAGCAGTATGTGGCCCAGCCTGCATCCCTCAATTTGAAAAAAGTCAACTTTTGTTAAAGTAGTCGGACTGAAAATTGTTAGCCGAACAGTGAATGCAGTCACTGTTCAGGTATTCTGACAACTGTGGGCGACGGCTGTCAAAATACAATAGCCCTGCAGGGGAGATTCCCCCATTCAGCATTGTTCGAATCGAGTGTGGGGCTGAACGAGAACAAATGCATAGTGTATGGCCAACTTTAGTAATTTTTGCTGACTCTTGGATAAACATTTGTTATTTTAATTATAAATTTTCAAATCCACCGGTTTCGTCAACCCATCATATTCCTATGGGAATTATGGTGGGTCAGTGTATCATTAAAGTTTATGCATAGAAAACTTTTTCTTTTAGCTTTGAATAGTAAGGAAGGGTAAAAACACTAATCAAGCTTTTTTTGTTGTCTGAGTACCCACTGTGATGGCTGCTTACCCACTGTACGTCAGTACCACGTGATTATATGCAATTCCAAACTGGCCAAGTTA